GAAGCACCAGTTGGCTTGTGGGCATGGTTACAGCTTGTGCTTGCTACTATGGGCAGCATAGGCAGAGTCTGTTTTAGGGATTAGCCATCAAACCATGCCCCATTAGGACATAGTTAAAGCCCTTGCATGCTAGCCAGACATCTCTTAGATCACCCTTCTATCTCATGGAAAATCTCTACCGGTTGCTGAGATCATGAGACTTGCCGTTTATATGTGGTTTCTGTAGCAGTCCTTCCCCCACCCCCGTTGCCTACCAGCAATGCTAATGAGAGGATTTCATGACTTTATAGTTTTAATATTCTGGGGTTCTTAGTTATCTGGAATACTAGTCATCTGTTACCAGGATGGCACTCTCCTTGAGACCATCTTTACCAAGTTTCAGAGTAGCAGCCGTGTTAGTCTGTATCCGCAAAAAGAACAGGAGTACTTGTGGCACCTTAGAGACTAACAAATTTATTAGAGCATAAGCTTTCGTATGCTCTAATAAATTTGTTAGTCTCTAAGGTGCCCCAAGTACATCTTTACCAAGATTGCCATGGCCTCTGGTTTTTCAAGGTTTAGTTCTAGAGGCCACTTTGTTTTCCCAGAGTTGAATTATCTACACAAAAATGGATGAGCCAGAATCAGCCCTGAGGTAAATCCTCTGGGCCTGATTGTCTTCTTGCTCGCTCTTGCTTTAATGGAGTCATTCCTGGCATACATATGTGTATGAGTGTGGAATCAGGCCCACTAGCTTCAATTGAGTTTGAGCTGTGTACGCCAGGCTGAATTTACCTGATATCTTAAACAATATTACATTTATTATAACAATTTTATTGCAAGACTAGGTATAGAAATAGACTCTTATCTATAACAATATTTCAGGGCCTATTTCCTTGGACCCTGGACCTATGGTATAATTACATGCTATAAACTTAAAGTATGTGCCCTACGGAAATGAATGTCCATAAATTGCTTTTAAAAAATTAAGTTTTAACAGTTGCTCAGTGATTTATATGAAAGTGTTTCACCACCAGTCTGCCTGTGCCTATACTGCTTATGGAGTTAACAGTCCTGGCCTTGGCTTTTGTGCTGGGGTACCCAGTTTACAACTTTCCACTTGCTGGTCTAGTACCTGGAAATTAATGGAGCTCTGCTCGTTGGGATCAAATTGTCAGGATTCCGCTGGTCTGTTCCGCTCTCAAAAAGCGGGGAAACCCCACTGACGGATTCTCTCTTTCCTCTGGGCTGGCATGGTTCCTTCAAACTGTCTGCTTGCTGGCTTTGTCTGATCTAAAGCTGCTTCTATAAAGTCAGGCAGCTATATGATTCCACCCTCCAGAGGATTCTGTATAAGTTATTACTCCTCCCTTTGATTCCCTGAGAACCAGGGTTTTCTCCATTTCAAAAGCAGCTCCTGCAGTTCTTCTCTCCCACTTGAGTCGTACAAGCATTCTCTAAATCTGCAAAGCAAGGCAGGATGCATATTGATGTGAGGGGCTAGTTAAGTGGCCATCCTTATGGAATGTAGTCCCCTTTCTCTGCTTCTCCTTGCCCTCTCCCAGTACATGCAGGTGGGGAGGACAGTTGTCTGGCCTCCTGTGATATGATACTTGGCTGGAGCTTCATCTCTTCCTCCATCTTTTTCTCTCCATGCAACTCCTGAAAGGTCTCTTGGCATAGACTGTCTGGAGCCTGGTGCTGGAAGTAAAGTCTTAGTTTTGTCACTTCTCACCCACCTAGGGTTGCCAACTTTCTGATTGCAGAAAACCGAACACCCCTTGCCCTGCCCTGCCCCTTCTCCGAGGCCCTGCGCTCACTCACTCCATCCCCCCTCTCTCCATCGCTCGCTCTCCCCCACCCTCACTCACTCATTTTCACCAGGCTGGGGCAGAGGGTTAGCGTGAGGGAGGAGGTGAGGGCTCCGGCTGGGGGTGCGAGCTCTGGAGTGGGGCCGGGGATGCAGATTTGGGATGCGGGAGGGGACTCCAGGCTGGAGCAGGAAGTGGGGGTACGGGCTCTGGGGTGGGGCCAGAAATGAGGGGGCTCAGGGTGTGGGAGGGGGCTCCGGGCTGGGGCATAGGGTTGGGGTGTGAGCTCTGGCTGGGGATACGGACTCTGGGGTGGGGCCAGGTGTGACGGGTTCGGTCACAGAGACGCCCTTGGGACTGCCACCTGATGTGCTGAGACTACCTCCGAGCCCGTTTTCCCTGCCAGCTTGGAACTTCAGTACCCTGTCTTGTTGAGGCAGACATGCTAGCCTGTTGCAAACACAGACCCAGGTCTGAACCACATCCCCCAAAAGCTGCAGACGTAACTGAAAACAGCTTAAGAAGTGCTCTTGTCTCTAGCACCCAGATACCCAGTTCCCAATGGGGTCCAAACCCCAGATAAATCCGTTTTATTCTGTATAAAGCTTGTACAGGGTAAACTCATAAATTGTCCGCCCTCTATAACACTGATAGAGAGAGATGCACAGCTGTTTGCTCCCCCACGAATTAATTACTTACTCTGGGTTAATTAATAAGCAAAAAGTGATTTTATTAAGTATAACAAGTAGGATTTAAGTGATTCCAAGTAATAACAGACAGAACAAAGTAAATTACCAAGCAAAATAAAACAAAAACACGTAAATCTAAGCCTAATACAGTAAGAAACTGATTATAGATGAAATCTCGCCCTGAGATGTTCTAATAAGCTTCTTTCACAGACTAGACTCCTTTCTAGTCTGGGTCCAATCCGTTCCCCTGGTACAGTCCTTGTTCCAGCTCAGGTGGTAGCTAGGGGATTTCTCATGACTGCAGCCCTCTTTGTTCTATTCCACCCCCCTATATAGCTTTGGCACAAGGCGGGAATCTTTTCCCTCTGGGTCCCCACCCCTCCTTCTAAATGGAAAAGCACCAAGTTTAAGATGGATTTCAGTACCAGGTGACATGGTCACATATCCTGTGAGACCCCAAGCCTTCATTCTTCCCAGCCTGACTCACAGGAAGGCTTGCAAGTAAACAGAGCTATTTACAACAAATTGTCCTAGTTGATGGGAGCCATCAAGATTCCAAACCACCATTAATGGCCCACACTTTGCAAAATTATAATAGGACCTCAGAGTTATATTTCATATTTCTAGTTTCAGATACAAGAATGATACATTTATACAATAGGATGACCACACTCAGATGATTATAAGATTTGTAATGATACCTTACAAGAGATCTTTTGCATGAAGCATATTCCAGTTACATTATATTCATACTCATTAGCATATTTTCATAAAATCATAGAATATCAGGGTTGTAAGGGACCTCAGGAGGTCATCTAGTCCAACCCCCTGCTTAAAGCAGAACCAATTCCCAACTAAATTATCCCAGCCAGGGCTTTGTCAAGCCTGACCTTAAAAATTCCTAAGGAAGGAGATTCCACCACCTCCCTAGGTATTGCATTCCAGTGCTTCATCACCCTCCTAGTGAAAGTTTTTCCTAATATCCAATCTAAACCTCCCGCACTGCAACTTGAGACCATTACTCCTTGTTCTGTCATCTGGTACCACTGAGAACCGTCTAGATCCATCCTCTTTGGAATCCCCTTTCAGGTAGTTGAACGCAACTATCAAATCGTATGGAATGCAACGTAACACCGGGGATCAGGGGTTTGGGGTGCAGAAGGGGGATCTGGGCTGGGGCCAAGGGGTTCAGAGTGCAGTTGGGGGTTCAGGGCTGGGGCAGCGGGTTGGGGTGTGGGCTCCAGGAGGAAGTTTGCGTGCGGAAGGGAGCTCAGGGCTGGGGTTGGGGTGCTGGAGGGGGTGTGGGCTCTGGGAGGGCATTTGGGTGCGGGAGGGGGCTCGGGGCTGGGGCAGGGGGTTTCCAGCCAATGGGAGCTGAGGAGCCAGCGCTCGAGGCAGTGCCTGCGCCACAGGCAGGGGCAGCATGTGGAGCCCTCCTGGCTGCCCTGCGCATAGGAGACAGCGGGACATGCCAGCCACTTCCGGGAGCCATGCAGAGCCGGCCACTGTGGCCAACTGGACTTTTAGTGGCCTGATCAGCAGTGCTGACCAGAGCTGCCAGGGTCTCTTTTCAGCCAGGTGTTCAGTCAGCTAGCAGCAAGGCAACAGCCGAGTTCAGTGGTTCTCTGCTATTGATGACTCAGCTGAAAGCACACAACTTTTTCCATTTAAAAAAACAACAAACATGCCCCTTATGTGATTGCTTCAGAATTTCTGAACACTGCTTCACCTCAGTGCCAGAAACCAGGCACAAGCACTGCCGATGATGAGCCCTCTCTGATGAGACCGGTGACTACTGGTGCTTTTCCAGAGAATTAAACTTAAACACCTGTCTTACTAAACATGTGCAACCTGGATTTCTTGGACTGTAGAGAGAGTCTAATCAGGCTAGAAAGGGGTTTTTACAAAGCATGCAATAGTAGACTAAGATGAGCCTTGACCATAAATGTGGTCACACATTCCTGGTAAGACTTGTTGTGCACTATTCTCTGAAAAGATAACACACCAAATTCCGTGTAAATGGAACCAATGCGTTTAGCAAACTTGGTATCCTCCTCCCACCTCAAATATTGCCCCAGGTAACTATTTTCTGCTCCCTGGCCCTCCCAAGGGTTTTCCATGTTCACGCTCAAAACAAGTCACTTTGGAAAGCCAGAAGTAGCTTTCAGAGTCATTTTTCAGGCTTGAATTTGTCTCATTAAACTAGAATGTTACTCAAGAAGATTGAGAGAGGTACTGTTTAGACACTTTTACTTCCTGCTTCTGTAGAAAGCCAGTACTGCAAGTGGCTACGAAATAGTCCTGAAGGGTGTCCGTGTTTTTGCTGAACGGGTCCAAAGGAGGACAGGGTGGGTGCATTTTCTCAGAATATAGACAGGCCATTATTCTGCTGAATGTAGCCTCAGAATATCATCACATATCTGCGTCAGGAAAAACTATTTGCAAAACAAAAATCTAGGCTACCCATCTTATTACACTAGGATGACTTGCTCAGTAAGGGTAATATTGTATCTTGTTTCAGGAAAAGAATGCAGCCAGGACGAAAGCACAGCTGCAGCAATCTTCACTGTTCAGCTGGATGACTATCTAGGTGGGAAACCTGTGCAGAGTAGAGAAATTCAAGGACACGAGTCTACTGACTTTGTTGGATATTTCAAAGGAGGGATTAAGTACAAGGTAAGCAGTCAGCTATGAAAATGTTTCTCCAAAACCAAACACAACTCCCCTCTTCCCCCCCCCCCCCCGCAAAAAGGTCAAAACATATCTTTGTTGGATTCTGGGATACGTTCTGCTTTCTACTTAGCTTTAATACAAAGTAACCATATTAACACAATTAATGACTATTAGAACTTTTGCAAAAATCACAAACACAATTTCTTGACAACTTTTACTGGTATTAAAAAGAAAACAAAAGAACCATCTTTGTCTGTTGTAATTATATAGGATTACATTCTACCAAGGTTACTCATATAGACTAGTACCTTTCTCTGCAAGTAGCATTTATTTCAGTGGAAATATTCTCAGCGTAAGGTATTGCTTGACATAAGAGTGGCAGAATCTGCGCAGTAAAAAGTAGGCATGAAACAATGTTTCATGGAGTACATGAAAATATTTGAAGGTCTCTGTCTAAGGGTGTCCCAGCTCATAAAAAGGGTGCCTCCGTCCACTACTTCACATGCCTGCTTGTGATAGGGGAACCAATGGTTCTGTTCAAATAAGCTCTCAACTTCTTAAGATTGCAAAACTGGGCTGTTAAACCGCATGCGAGCCTGCAGTCTTGCGATTCTTGGTACTTTCTGCTTCTGGGTAAGCTGTCAATACCAGAGGAATGACCCCTGCCTCACTGGTTTCGGCTTTTGGCCTCGTACAGAACCCAGTGTTTGGAGGTGTATAAAAAAGAAAAATGTGGAAGATACCCAGAACCTCCTTTGGCTTTTGCTTCAAAAGTTTGGTTTCCATCTTGTATGGAGGGGTTTGCCCACTCCTGTTACATTGGAGTTTTGTATGTGTAGTAGAGCTGGCTGAAAAACAGCAAGCATTTTTCATGAAACTTTCATTGAAATTTCAAAAAGTTGAAAATTCCAACCAGCACCAGTGTCAACCTCATTTCCAGATGTAGTGCTTCCAACAGCAATAACTTCTTATCTGTGGTGTTGCCTGCAGTAGGTTGTCATAACAGCTGCTACAGAAATTCTCCTGGGCAGCAGTAGCTAATTAGTCGTTTGGAGGGATGGAAACATCTCTGGGCATTAAGAATATTGTTTTGTTAATTCAACTGCTGCTTGCTGAGAAATAAATAGTCTGTGCCTTTAGGCACAACCCTGAGCAAGGGGTGTTGTGTGAACTACACAGCTCCAGGAGTAGCCTCACGACTCGTAACTCAGTCATAATTCTTATTTTGCTTCTTCCTTGAACTGGAGATTAGTAACTTGCTACTGTTCTGACCTATCCAGTCAGATACTACCCCCAGTCTGTGCTGGCTCAGGTACAGTGGCTATTGAGCAGAGGAGCCGGAACCCAAGTTGCACTCATTCCCCACTTCTCCTTGACCATTTGCTTGAGGAAGGGAGTAGATGGGGCCCCTTGTTAGGGGTCTCAAGTGCTTATTCCCCTGTGCAGGCACATAGGCCAAGTCAGTCTAGCCCCAAGGGAATACATTTAAACTCATGAAAGCTCAAACCAGTGTTTTAGATTTTCCCTGTGTGGGCAGCACACTGGGTCAGATTGCTTCCTAGGTGGTAATCCTCCACTTCAGGGACAAGGAGATTACTCACAGAATTACCTTGGAATTGTCTCTCCTTCCCACACAGAACAGCATCTTGAAACCAGGACATCTCTTGAGAACGGAGGAGGGTAGGGTTGTTTGTAGAGCAGTGTCAGTAATGGCTTTTTTGGTGTGCAGGCAATTCTGTAAAATCAGCGGTGGGAAATCATTTCGGTCAAACTGAAAATGAATTTTTTCAAATAAAATATGGTTGGTTGGTTTGTATTGTGTTGAACAAAATGTTTTGTTTTGACAAAATCAGAATGTTATGATTTTGACCATTTTTAACATTTGATTTTTTAAAAAAATACAATTAAAGGAAATTTTGAACCAAACTCATTTTTGAATAAAAAAATTCAAATGTTTTGTTTCAACTTTTAAAAAAATTATTTTAATTTCTTTTGAAACAATTGAGCAAAACCAACATGAACTCTCAGTTCATTTTAGTGTTTCCAAATCTGCATTTTTTTTTTTCACCTGCTGGGGGGAGTTTTGCCCATCTCTAGTCATCTGTGCAGAGGCCTTATGCCTCCATACTTCCTCCTAGCCCCTGTGGGCTCCCCTCTTGGGTTCTGCCCAGACAGTCTGGGTCAGCATTACCTTATGCTGGGTTTCCTCACATGGTTGTGGGGAATAGTGACGGAGAGAGCAGCCAGTGCCATTCGCTGCTTCCCGCATTCAGAGGGTCCCCATAGGAACAGGGAAGGGATGTAATGATACTGATACCCATCCCTTCTGTGGTAGTTCCACACACTGGTGTATCTGAATTACAACTGCATCCCCTCTGTTCACAGAAGTGCAGGGGTTGATCTGACCCATTGTCTCTTTTTTTTTCTGGGCTGCAGTCAGTGTTGGTAATCCCAAGCAGCATGCCACATATCTCTCATTTCGTACGTGTCCGATGTCTGGTTTCTCAGTGCTGCTGTAGAAAGCAAACCAAACTTAATCAAAGTTTCCATATTTGTTTTTTATATTTAGGCAGGTGGTGTTGCATCCGGATTTAAACACGTAGTCACTAACGACTTGAGTGCACAGAGGCTTCTGCATATTAAGGGCCGGAGGGTAGTGAGAGCTACAGAAGTTCCTCTCAGCTGGGCCAGTTTCAACAAAGGAGACTGTTTCATTGTTGATCTCGGAACTGTAAGTTTTTATAGAACTAAGGCTTTGAAAAATAACAGCAACATTCCTCCTAAGGTCTGAATGATAGAATGAACTGTATAACTGATCTTGTCACGGTCCCATGAACTGAACGAAAGACCCAAGCTGATGTAGTATCACATTAGGATTTGAAGGTCCTATGATAAATGACTCACAAAGGCTAACTTTAGAAAGTTAGTTTTATTTTCTTTACCGATATCAGAGTCTTGTATAAGCAGATTCTGATTTAGGACCCAGTCTTCCTAGTCACTGAAGGCTCTGGGAGTATAGACCTTGATGTCAGTATGAGCAGGATTTTACTTAAGACTTTATTGAGTTGTCTATAATGACACCCGGGTCCCTTTCTGACTTTCCTCTCTTGCCAGGGTTATACATTTAAAATGGCATTTTCCAAACTGTATGGTGGATTTGGTCTCCTGTGTTCTGCTCTCCCTGTGTGCACGATGCCTATTGATATCAGGGGCAAAATATTGGAGTTGAAATTCATTTGTGGAATGATGACACAGTTTTTGCCTTAAATGCAGTTCTTAATCTTCATTATCCCTTTTCATTTATTCTCTACAAACAATGCACTTGAAACATAACCGTGAAATGAATTGTCATAAGCTTACAATATATATTAAACAATGATAGGCTTGCTGTAGAACTGTTTAGGTAATCTGAGACCAATTATAATTCAGAAGACACTTGTAAACAATGTTCATTTAGGGTTGAGAATATTTAAACCTTTAAACATGATCCTTTGAAGAGACAGGAGAAGGGGATTATGAGAAACAGTCCTCTACCTTAAGGCTTTCAAGTGAAAATAAAGAGACTGATTTACAGCAGATGTCTTCCTCTTTATATTACATAACTGCATATCCATACAGAAGTCTGCCTGTGTTTCCAGATCTTATCTGCACTAGTACAATGTTGCCTTCATGGAATTAATGTCTGAATTGTAGTTTAATGTTTTTATATTAAAACAAATTCCTGGGATGTAATCCATACTAGTTAAACATTACATCAATTGTCATCAGTTTAAACTTATTCACAAAACTGACACTGACATAGTTAAGGTATGAGAACACATGAAAGAAAATAACTGGACTTTTCTCTTTGCAGCAGATCTTGAGTCTAAACTCACATTAGAAACCTGACTGATTCTTTACTCTGAAAGAGAATCCTATACCTCTGCCGGGTATGCAACTTGGGTTAGGTAATTTAGACCTGACCCTTTTGGGGAGGCTAGCATAGGCCCTGATCTGGGGGGTTTGTTCGGTTTATGCTTGGTATGGTTTCCTCCGTTTCTTACTCAGGGAAGATATTGGAGCATGTTGCCCTCTTTATTGGTTGTCTTGTATTTGAAAGTGTCCAGGGGCCTTTGGCTGTGATGTCTTTACAGCTTTGCACTCCTGCCAAGGTGGTGCCCTCCAACCATGGAATAAATAACCAATTGTTAAATGCCCACACTATTATCTGGAAATGGCATTTTGGGATTGGACAAAAGACACCTGGAAGAGCCAAATCCCCCCTCCAAAAATAATCCATTGACAGATTAGAATTCTGGAGCCAATAAACATGAATGGAAAATGCTGTATCTATAGCTGTGCCATCTCAGGGCCTGATCTACCCATGAGGTACTTGCCCCTTGCAACTCCTATTGACTTCAGGCCTCCAGATTCTTCAGGTGCATTATGGGGCTAGAAAAATTTTATTTCTAGCAGCCCCCCACATGGTTACACCTCTTCAGTTTTCTGTTTGTATTTACAAACTGCATGTGTGTAGCATAAGCAAAAAGGGACCTGAATCTCATTTCTGTGTCTGTCGCCTTTTTTTAAATGTGAAAAAATAGACATGGTTGGTAAAAATTCATGAGCCCCATAAGTGGGGTTCTACTCTCCAATATAATCGTGATAGCCAGAAGGTAGACGATGAGGGATACTGTGACTGTGAGTGTACGGCATCTTTCACATTCAACTCTAGGGAAAGCAAAGCTTACCAAAATAAAGTCAGTTGGAGCAAGGGACAGTATTATAGTGAAACATAGGCTAAGGAGACGTGAAGTCCCAGAGAATATCTCTGCAATGGAAAATGCTTGGTGGTGGTGCTAGACATGCAGAAGACTCCTGCACACTTTCAGGTAACTAGCAGTCAGAACAGTGCTGGATTAAGGTATAAACTATCTAAGGCCTGGTCTACACTACGAGTTTAGGTCGACTTTAGCCGCGTTAAATCGAATTAAGCCTGGACACGTTCACACGACGAAGCCCTTTCTTTCGACTTAAAGGGCCCTTTAAACCGGTTTCTTAACACCACCTCCGACGAGGGGATTAGCGATAAAATCGGCCTTAGGGGGTCGGAATTGGGTGTGTGTGGACGGAATTCGACATTATTGGCCTCCGGGAGCTATCCCACAGTGCTTCATTGTGACTACTCTGGACAGCACTCTCAACTCAGATGCACTGGCCAGGTAGACAGGAAAAGCCCCGCGAACGTTTGAATTTCATTTCCTGTTTGCTCAGCGTGGAGAGCACAGGTCGCTCATCAGCACAGGTAGCCGTGATGGAGTCCCAGGATCGCAAAAGAGCTCCAGCATGGACAGAACGGGAGGTTCGGGATCTGATCACCATATGGGGAGATGAATCAGTGCTGGCCGAACTCCGAAGCAGTAAACGAAATGGCAAAATATTAGAAAAGGTCTCCAGGGCCATGAAGGACAGAGGCCATAACAGGGACGCACAGCAGTGCCGCGTGAAAATTAAGGAGCTAAGGCAAGCCTACCACAAAGCCAGAGAGGCAAACGGAAGGTCCGGGGCTGAGCCGCAAACATGCCGCTTCTACGCGGAGCTGCATGCCATTCTAGGGGGTGCAGCCACCACTACCCCAACCGTGTGCTATGAGTCCCTCACTGGAGAAAGACACAGGGAAGCGGGTTCTGGGGATGAGGAAGATGAGCATGAAGATAATGTAAATAGCTCACAGCAGCAAGGAAGCGGAGAAACCAGTTTCCCCAACAGCCAGGATATGTTTATCACCCTGGTTTATCACCCAGCCAGGGTTTAACAGGAGGGAGGGAGGGGGGAAGCAAATGAATACAGAATAAATCTATTTTTTACATCTTAAGACGACGGTGCAGCATGACTGATAGCCCTTGGCATTTTCTGGGTGCTTGGCAGCAAATACTGGGCGCTTGGCAGTAAGCCTTCAGGTCTACTGCACAATATGATACCCACTGCAGTATGACAACGATGGATACCAGTCGTAATATACTATCTACTGCCCAAAAGGCAAGGGGTTGCTGCTGTGTAGCAATCTAGCCCCACGTCTGCCAGCCCCATGTCTGCCAGCACCCAGATCGCCATCGGCCTCTTCTGGGTGCTTAGCAGACAATACTGGGCACTTGGCAGAAAATAGCATACTATGACTCTGCTAACGTGCAATGAGCCAACAGGGCGCGTGGCAGAAAATGGCATACTACGACTGATAACCATCATTGTCTGCCCGGGTGCCCATGATTGACAGCCACTGCAGTACGACAACGGTTACCAGTCGTAATAAACCATCTTCTACCAAAAGGCAAGGGGCTGGTGCAATGCAGCCCTATGGCTGCCAGCCCCACAGCTGCCCGCACCCAGATCGCCAATGAAGGCTACCAGTCATGCTGCACCGTCTACCGCCAAAAGGCAGTTAGCTGCTGCTGCTGTGTAGCAATGCAGTCCCACGTCTGCCGGCACCTAGATGACATATGGTGACGGTGAGCTGAGCTGAGTGGGCTCCATGCTTGCCGTGGTATGTTGTCTGCACAGGTAACCCAGGTAAAAAGGCGCGAATCTATTGTCTGCCGTTGCTGTGACGTAGGGGGAGGGACCTGACGACATGTACCCAGAACCCCCCGCGGCACTGTTTTGCATCATCCGGGCATTGGGATCTCAACCCATAATTCCAATGGGCGGCGGAGACTGCGGGAACTGTGGGATAGCTACCCATAGTGCAATGCGCCGGAAGTCGACGCTAGCCTCGGTACTGTGGACGCGGTCCGCCAAACTAATGCGCTTAGAGCATTTTAGGTGGGGACACACACAATCCGGCTGTATACAACCGATTTCTATAAAACCGGCTTCTATTAATTCGATCTAATTTCGTAGTGTAGACATACCCTGAGCTACAACTTAGGGTCTCACAATATGAGGGGCCTCTAAAAAATAAAAAACTGACTCCATTTCAAATTTTATCAACCAATTTTGATAAATAAAGGAGACCTGGGAAAAAGAAGATTCTAAATATAGACATTTTCATTCAAATATGACAAAAATATGCACATCTGGCTACACAAATACCCTTACCCTACCCTTATCCTTCACTAATTGTTCATTATTGACAGGTGAGAGGCCAGGGCTGAGGGAAAAAACAATAATTGCACTTGTAAAATTAGTATTTCTATGAGTAAGTCTGCTATCAGTCTCCTAAGGCAGCATTTCGTTGGCCAGCTGCTACTGGTAAAATTCTGACCATGTCTTCATAACTTATTTAAATAAATAAATCTCACTGCCAATAAAATCAGGGAAAATGTGAGGTCGGAGACGGCAATGTTGTGAAGCAAACCTACCAAGCTCACACTCGTATGTTAGTGTGTTCGTTCTTCTTTTGATCTGTACATACGTACAACTGTGTATTTTAGTGTGCACGCCGCTGTCTGCTTCATGCGCTATCCATGCTTCACATGATTGAGTTTGCAGGTGATGATCTTATGGACTTGGGTCCAGTGGATCTTGAGGAGGATAAATTTTGTGTTGGCTTCCCTCCGTCAGTTTCGGGAACCTTCACAGTAATCAGAGAGTGCTGATGAAAGGATAAATAGATGGTTTTGAGAGAAGTTAAGGAAAATATACATATATATCAAAATATTCTGAGTCCTTAATTTGAAATAACTTGCTCACCATGTGCATATATAATTTATAGGCTATTAAAGCCTATAATATTCATTATATTTGCTTGCATAT